TAATAGATTTGCTTATTTTAATAGATCTGTGTCTGTTAATAGATTTGTTTCTGTTAATAGATCTGTGTCTGATAATAGATTTGCTTATTTTAATAGATCTGTGTCTGTTAATAGATTTGTTTCTGTTAATAGATCTGTGTCTGATAATAGATTTGCTTATTTTAATAGATCTGTGTCTGTTAATAGATTTGCTTCTGTTAATAGATCTGAGTCTGTTAATAGATTTGTTTCTGTTAATAGATCTGAGTCTGTTAATAGATTTGTTTCTGTTAATAGATCTGAGTCTGTTAATAGATTTGTTTCTGTTAATAGATCTGTGTCTGTTAATAGATTTGCTTATTTTAATAGATCTGAGTCTGTTAATAGATTTGGTTCTGTTAATAGATCTGAGTCTGTTAATAGATTTGTTTCTGTTAATAGATCTGTGTCTGATAATAGATTTGCTTATTTTAATAGATCTGAGTCTGTTAATAGATTTGTTTCTGTTAATAGATCTGAGTCTGTTAATAGATTTGCTTATTTTAATAGATCTGAGTCTGTTAATAGATTTGCTTCTGTTAATAGATCTGAGTCTGTTAATAGATTTGGTTCTGTTAATAGATCTGAGTCTGTTAATAGATTTGTTTCTGTTAATAGATCTGAGTCTGTTAATAGATTTGTTTCTGTTAATTGATTTGTTATTAGTAATAGATTTATTTCTAGCAATAGCTATGCCGAAAATATGTCACAATGACGAGGCTGAAATTTAGAGCTCAACCCACACATCTGAGGAAGGAATTAAGAAAGTGGCGACGTTTCGGTCTCTCTCAGACCATTATTATTGGTCCTGGACCGAAACGTCGTTAACTACTCTGTTTTCAGACGTTTGTGTTTTAAGTCTGATAGACTTTTGTTAGTAATACATTTCCACGTTTCCTTATAATTCTTCAGTTTGTTTTATGAGAGAGAGAAAAGAGAGAGTGAAATAAAGATGAGGAATGGAGATATGAAGATAAAATGAAGGTAGATAATTATAATGATTGGAAGTGAAGATAAGGAATAGGAGAGGAAGGGGTGAAGAACCTAAGTGAATACAGATGGTAAGAGGAGACACAGAAATCAGGAGTAAACAGGAAGTAGTCGATAGCCAAAGATAAGAAAATGCAAGAAGAGGGGAAGGAGTGAGTCAATGGGAAAGGAGACAGGGGGAAAAGATAAGAAAAGGTCAAAGGTAAAAGACTTACAAAAACAGGAAGATGGAAGCAGACGTAGAGAACAAAAGAATAATAAACATGATACCAACAGAAACGGAAAGAAATTACGAAACGTAGACAATTATCCGTTTAATGCAGAATAAAAGATGTTGAATGAATAACTTAGTATGCAGGATAAATGCAGGTAGTTAGGAGGAGCTGTTAATTCTTGAGAATAGTAATGTGAGGTGATAACGGGGAGGAATGAGGCAGAGATTTTGATAACGGCAGGAATGCAGAGAAGAACTTGTAACTCAGTAGAAGAAAAAATGAGTTTTGGTGAGGATTTTGGGGGCCTGGGTAAGGTTGGTAGCACTGGTAAGTTTGTGTGTATGTGTGTGTGTGTGTGTGTGTGTGTGTGTGTGTGTGTACTCACCTATTTGTATTTATCTATTTGTGCTTGCAGGATCGAGCATTGACTCTTGGATCCCGCCTTTCCAGCCATCGGTTGTTTACAGCAATGACTCCTGTCATTGTGTGTGTGTGTGTGTGTTCATTCATCATCCTGTGTGTGTGTGTGTGTGTGTGTGTGTGTGTGTGTGTGTGTGTGTGTGTGTGTGTGTGTGGAAGGAAACAATAGGACTTACTACGTAAGGGACAGAAAACAGTCAATTTTTCCCCGGCAGCTTAGTACAGACATTCTCTATTTATTCCCCACATCCCCTATTTCACTTCCTACCTGGTATTTTCCTGTTTGTATTTCTCTGTGTCCACCTGGTATTACTCTACTCACCTGGTACATCCTCACTCACCTGTCAGCCGTACACCCCATTCAGAGGGAGCCCATTTCATCAACTGTTAATTACACACACAGAACCCATCGCTAGTTTTTTCCCCCAAACTTCCGATTACTGAACCTCTTTTAGCTGTGTTTCGTTGCAAGTTCCTAGTCACTGAGCTTACATTTCTTTTCGTGAAGTTTTAGTCTTGCAAGTTTGAGGAACAGAGAGAGAGAGAGAGAGAGAGAGAGAGAGAGAGAGAGAGAGAGAGAGAGAGAGAGAGAGAGAGAGAGAGAGAGAGAGAGAGAGAAGGAGAGAGAGAGAAGAGAGAGAGAGAGAGAGAGAGAGAGAGAGAGAGAGAGAGAGAGAGAGAAAGAGAGAGAGAGAGAAGAGAGAGAGAGAGAGAGAGAGAGAGAGAGAGAGAGAGAGAGAGAGAGAGAGAGAGAGAGAGAGAGAAAGAGAGAGAAAGAGAAAACAATGACGCTAGCGTCCTATCTATATATAGCCTAGCGCTGTATTCCACGGCCGGGTTTACTGAGGAGAAAATCTTGTTCATACATACACATTGCTGTGAGGCTGCGGGGGGGGGGGAGGTCTTTTGATACGATTGAAACATTGGGTTGAAACAGGCTGCCAAACCGGTCATATGTTTTTTATTATTTTTTATGTGTTTATGGACAACAGGATTATACATGGTGAATAATTTAGCGATGTGTACACACAAACGCCCCGTTTTAATTGGATCGTGTGAAATAGCGTAAATATATATACATTGTGCCTCCAGTCATGGATCCATCCCTACATGCACGTATGGATTTACGTATACATAATGCACATATATATATATATATATATATATATATATATATATATATATATATATATATATATATATATATATATATATATATATATATATATATATATATATGTATGCGAATAAGCCTGAATGGTTCCCAGGACTATATGCAACTGAAAACTATATATAGATATATGTTCAGATATATATATATCTGAACATGCATCGAAATTATATGCATACATATATATAGAGAGAGAGAGCGAGCTTAAGTACATACATGCCTGTTTGTGTAGATACAAAGGCTACACATTATATACATAAATATATACATACTCGTACCAGCAGCAGCCATATATAAATGACAACAGAGTCTGCCTCTAATCACTGGTTGGTCCTCCGGGCGAAGGTCAGGCTTAAACGATCGGAACCAATTACAAGTGTGTGTGTAAAACGTGTGAATGGACAGCGCGCTTGATACGTAATCCTGTAGACCGGGGTCTCGATTCCCGGCCGAGGCAGAAACAAATGGGCAGCGTTTCAATCACTCTGATGTAACTGCTCACCTAGCAGTAAATAGGTTCCTGGGAGTTATACAGCTGCTACGGGCTGCTTCCTGGGGATGTGTGTGTGGGTGTGGTAGAGAGAGAGATATATGTAGTAGATATAATAGAGGAAAAATAGATTGGATTGAAAGGCGGAGTCCAAGACCTAATAGCTCGATTCTGCAGGCACAAATAGTAAACACACACACACACACACACACACACACACACACACACACACACACACACACACACACACACACACACACACACACACACACACACACACACACACACACACACACACACACACACACACACATGTACAGGCATACTCTCATGCAAGCAGACTGACGCATGCACACGCACGCATACACACGCACGCATGCACACGAGTACATGCGAGCATGCAAAGGCACACACACACACACCTGTGTAGGCAAACGTGCTCGCTCACACACGCGCACGCACACGCACTCGTACATTGTTTTTGTATTGAAATCAGAATTTATCCCATTATCAAGAGCGAGGTTTCATTCCCTCAGTTATGGTCGTTAACTGTTTGTAATTGTGGTCACTTGAGTTAACACCTCGAGTCATAAACTCAAGAACCCACAAACTCAAGAACCCACAAACACAAGAACCCACAAACTCAAGAACCCACAAACTCAAGAACCCACAAACTCAAGAACCCACAAACTCAAGAACCCACAAACTCAAGAACCCACAAACTCAAGAACCCACAAACTCAAGAACCCACAAGCACAAGAACCCACAAACTCAAGAACCCACAAACACAAGAACCCACAAACTCAAGAACCCACAAACACAAGAACCCACAAACTCAAGAACCCACAAACACAAGAACCCACAAGCACAAGAACCCACAAACACAAGAACCCACAAACACAAGAACCCACAAACACAAGAACCCACAAACTCAAGAACCCACAAACTCAAGAACCCACAAACTCAAGAACCCACAAACTCAAGAACCCACAAACTCAAGAACCCACAAACACAAGAACCCACAAACACAAGAACCCACAAACACAAGAACCCACAAACACAAGAACCCACAAACACAAGAACCCACAAACACAAGAACCCACAAACACAAGAACCCACAAACACAAGAACCCACAAGCACAAGAACCCACAAACTCAAGAACCCACAAACTCAAGAACCCACAAACACAAGAACCCACAAACACAAGAACCCACAAACACAAGAACCCACAAACACAAGAACCCACAAACACAAGAACCCACAAACACAAGAACCCCCAAGCACCAAAACACTAGCTTTGGGTACATAGTCCGCCAAGCACATGACAGAATACCTCACCTGTAATTAAACGGAAGAACGCCGGGTTAATGTTTTACGTTGAAACAATTAACCTGGAGGCGCCGGGAGGTCGTTAGGGACGAGGGGAACGTAGGGACGAGTCTGGGGAGGACTTGAGGGGTGGACAGGGAAGACAAAGGAGGAGGGGAAAATTGAGTTGGAAAGGTAGACAGGTGAATACACATTAAAAACTGGACGGTAAGTGTATTAGGGTGTGTGTGTGTGTGTGTGTGTGTGTGTGTGTGTGTGTGTGTGTGTGTGTGTGTGTGTGTGTGTGTGTGTGTGTGTGTGTGTGTGTGTGTGTGTGTGTGTGTGTGTGCGTACTCACCTATTTGTGCTTGCGGGGGTTGAGCTTCGACTCTTTGGTCCCGCCTCTCAACTGTCAATCAACTGGTGTACAGATTCCTGAGCCAACTGGGCTCTATCATATCTACATTTAAAACTGTGTATGGAGTCAGCCTGTGTGTGTGTGTGTGTGTGTGTGTGTGTGTGTGTGTGTGTGTGTGTGTGTGTGTGTGTGTGTGTGTGTGTGTGTACGCGTGCGTGCATGCGTGTTTGTGCTTTCGCGAGTGATAGATTCCTCCGATTGTAGATGTGAGCAATTAACAAAAACATTATCTAACATTCTTGCAAGTCTACTTCCCCACCCCAGATCCCTTCTCATTGCAAACGTTGACAGCCTGCACGCCCCTCACCACCTATCCTCCTCCTCCCCCAGTGGTGCAACAGAGACCCGCGGTGCAAGAAGTTACAACTCACGGACCTGCTGGTGGCTCCGGTGCAACATATTATGAAGGTGCCACTCATTCTGCGGGACATCGAAGGCCGGACTGAAGACCCACAGGAACGTTCTGTGGTCAGGGAGATCATTGAAGCCGAAGAGCACTCTCTCAGTGAGTACTGGTGGACCTGTGTACACTCTCAGTGAGTACTAGTGGACCTGTGTACAATCAGTGAGTACTAGTGGACCTGTGTACACTCTCAGTGGGTACTGGTGGACCTGTGTACACTCTCAGTGAGTACTAGTGGACCTGTCTACACTCACTGAGTACATAGTGTACACCTTGACCTGATAGAGATATCGTCTAATCTATGGACATCTTTTTTCCACATCTATCCCAAATCTTCCTCTGTTGCAAACCCTTGTTCTGTTGAAATGGTTCTGTCTTGCCCTGTTATCCTGTTCTTCTGTTGCTGCTTATATCGACCGGAAGATTACTGAAGGAAATGAGCACTCCATGAACAAGTATACTAGATTGTTCACTCTTACCTGCTGTTCTCTGTTACCTCTTGTTCACTGTTGCCTCTTGTTCACTGTTACCTCTTGTTCACTGTTACCTCTTGTTCACTGTTACCTCTTGTTCACTCTTACCTGCTGTTCTCTGTTACCTCTTGTCTTGTTCACTGTTGCCTCTTGTTCACTGTTACCTCTTGTTCACTCTTACCTGCTGTTCTCTGTTACCTCTTGTTCACTGTTGCCTCTTGTTCACTGTTACCTCTTGTTCACTCTTACCTGCTGTTCTCTGTTACCTCTTGTTCACTGTTGCCTCTTGTTCACTGTTACCTCTTGTTCACTCTTACCTGCTGTTCTCTGTTACCTCTTGTTCACTGTTGCCTCTTGTTCACTGTTACCTCTTGTTCACTCTTACCTGCTGTTCTCTGTTACCTCTTGTTCACTGTTGCCTCTTGTTCACTGTTACCTCTTGTTCACTGTTACCTCTTGTTCACTGTTGCCTATTGTTCACTGTTACCTATTGTTCACTCTTACCTGCTGTTCTCTGTTACCTCTTGTTCACTGTTACCTCTTGTTCACTGTTACCTCTTGTTCACTCTTACCTGCTGTTCTCTGTTACCTCTTGTTCACTGTTGCCTCTTGTTCACTGTTACCTCTTGTTCACTGTTGCCTCTTGTTCACTGTTGCCTCTTGTTCACTGTTACCTCTTGTTCACTGTTACCTATTGTTCACTGTTACCTCTTGTTCACTGTTACCTCTTGTTCACTGTTGCCTCTTGTTCACTGTTACCTATTGTTCATTGTTTCCCATTGTTCTCTGTCGTTCTCTCTTACGTGTTCTTCTCTATCACCTGCTGTTCTTTCTCAATTATTATTTCTTATTACTTGTTGTTCACATATACCTGTTATTTACTGTTATCTGTTATTCTCTGTTACCTGTTCTCCTATGTTACCTGTTGTTTTCTGTTACCTAGTGTTTTCTATTGCCTGTTGTTCTCTGTAAATCGTTGTTCTATGTTTACCCGTTGTTCTCTGTTTCCTGTTGTTCTGCTTTCCAGTTTCCCGTTGTTCTGATATATTATTTCCTGTTCTTCTGCTATCCTGTTTCCTTTTGTTCTGTTGCTTTATTTCCTGTTGCTCTGCTATCCTATTTCCTGTTGTTCTGTTTCCCCAATTTCCTGTTGTTCTGCTACCCTATTTTCTGTTGTTCTGCCACCCCATTTCCTGTTGTTCTGCCAGCCTATTTCCTGTTGTTCTGCCAGCCTATTTCCTGTTGTTCTGCCAGCCTATTTCCTGTTGTTCTGCCACCCCATTTCCTGTTGTTCTGCCAGCCTGTTTCCTGTTGTTCTGCCAGCCTATTTCCTGTTGTTCTGCCAGCCTGTTTCCTGTTGTTCTGCTATCTTATTTTATTGTTGTTCTGCCACCCCATTTTCTGTTGTTCTGCTTCCCTATTTCTGCTTTGCCTTTCTTCTTATTGCCATCTTTTTGGACATAATTTTGAACTTTTTGAACATTTACTTGTGAACATGTTTTCATATTTATAATTACCATTCTTAAGTCGACTTGAGAATGGTCCAGGACGGACCGAAACGTCGTCGTCCCTTCACCTTCTAGTGTGTGATCTGGTCAGCATATTTCAGCCACGTTATTGTGACTCATCGCCTGCAAATTTATTATATCTCACTGGGGATTTTTTTTTAATATTTGTTTAGTGTTTTGTATACTTAGGTAGTGTATAGATAGTGTATAAAGCCTGTTTGTCTTTGCATTTTGTGAACATTTGGTCAAACTGAGGTAATAACTGTCGGGGTTGGCTGAGTAACTGCTTAGTTTTCACAATTTCAATTTCCATAAAAAAAAAGTAGCTTCATAAATCCTGAACGTTAACTTTTATTTAATTTTTTTTTAGTGATGTAACTTTATATTTTAGTGTAGTTTATGTTTCTAAGCCAAATAATAAAAATGAACAACTCTCCAGTTTTGCTGTTGTGTCTATCGCGGTCAAATAAAGTTCATAACGGAACTGAAGAAATTGGCTTGTTCATGGTAGGGCAAAATAAGATACCAGAGATAGGAAAAGTGGGTAATGGCCTCTTACGAGAACTACATCTAAGCCTACTAGAAGAAAGAAGAGCCTGAGTAGATATGATCGCAACGTGTAAGATACCAAGAGTAAGACATCATATGAAGAAAGAAATTGTGTTTCCAGATGAGGTAAGGCAGGACGAGAGGATACAGTTATAAACTTACAAATGTATTGAGAAGCGTAAAGAAATATTCGTTTTGAAGCGCAAGTCGTGGAAGCCACCTCAATTCTCAAGAGCAAGTTTAGCACACCATTAGAGCGGCGGAATGAGTAAAAGCACCGGTACACTAACTGTATGGCAGTGTTCTGCCATACAGTTACTTACACACACACACACACACACACACACACACACACACACACACACACACACACACACACACACACACACACACACACACACACACACACACACACACACACACACACACACACACACACACACACACACACACACACACACACACACACACACACACACACACACACACACACACACACACACACTTACATACATATAATATCATAAATACCATCATACGTTAGTCGCCAATGGGAGCCACAACACCCGTTAATTAACTGTTATGGAAACAATAGCTTGTAGATAACAAAAAAAAGCCCCTCCCTTTGTTCTTGCTTATCATTCACGACAAACACTCCTTGTTTGTTTTACACGACAAACACTCCTTGTTTGTTTTACACGACAAACACTCCTTGTTTGTTTTACACGACAAACACTCCTTGTTTGTTTTACACGACAAACACTCCTTGTTTGTTTTACACGACAAACACTCCTTGTTTGTTTTACACGACAAACACTCCTTGTTTGAAATCCAAACCACATATCAGAAAATTAGGAAACGACGACGTTTGGGTCCGTCGTGGACCATTATGAAGTTGTGTAAGAGAGAGAGAGAGAGAGAGTGGAAGAGATAAACAATATGAGGGAAGAAAGGTGAGATGAATGACAGAGAAAGATGAAGATAATAAGATTAAAGGTAAGAATACGATGAAAGAAAAAATAGGGTGTAAGGTAAGAATAAGATGAAATTAAAGAATAAGAAAAAAGGTAAAAAAAAAAAAAGAGTAAAGATAAGAATAAAGTGATACAGGAACAGTAAAGGAAATGTTAGAAATAAAACAATGAGAAAGTATGAAGAATAGAAAGAAGGATAAAAGTTAGGCAAATAAAAAGTAAAAATAAAGAAAAGAAAACTGCAAGTAGCCTAATAGCAAATGGATTTTTTTTAGTAAGGAAAGAGACAGAAGGGAAAGCGAGCCTAGAGGGAAGGGAACTATCAAGGGAAGTGCCAAACCATTACGACTATATAGCACTTGGAAGGGATCAGGATAAGGACATGGGACGGGGGGGGAGAGAAGGAATGATGCCCAGCCACTAGGGCGGTCGGGGATTGAACGCGGACCTGCATGAAGCGAGACCGTCGCTCTACCGTCCAGCCCAAATGATTGGGAGGCAAAGTGAATTCTTATTGACGCCTGTATCAACCACACTCACACACGCAGCTCCAGTTAGAAGTTGATTAACGGGGAACTCAGCAGAGTAAGGCAACCTTGAGGTGCTTCCGGGGCTTAGCGTCCCCGCGGCCCGGTCGTCGATCAGACCTCCTCCCTTGAGAAGGCCCTGGAAGACTTCATTAATAGACACGTGACCCCCAGACACCAACCAGAAGATAAGAGTTAACAACCCACTGCAAGAGCAAGAACACTACAAACTTGCTCCTGAAGAACTCTCTCCCGACACAAGAGCAACGTCTTGAAAGAGACGAAGGTCGTCTGTGACTTCACACGCCCACTTGGGGACTGTCAGTCCCAATGTACTGAGTGTATAGGCAAGACAATAACATCTCTTTCTTTGCGCCTGACAATGCACAAACAAGAAGGTTCCATTAAATAAAATCTAATCTTTACTCACAGTCGGAGCATCGCCAGATATATCCTAACCAACAATACTGAAATAACTGACAAATACGATAGAAGATTAGACATGGGCAAAACACAACATATCAAGCAACCTCCACCAACCGTTAAGAACCAGCTTACACTCGGGTACACTCTACCATCTTCAAGACGACGATAAAATATCCAGCACACACTGTCTCTGCCCACATAGGAAATAAGATAGCTGCAAAAGGTCTTTTGGCCAATGTGATACCTTACTGCACTTCATCCTATTGGTTATATATTCCATTATTCCAAATAATTTGAATCCACTTCACCTCTGCCTTTGTAAATGTTGCCATGATCAACGAAACCTCTATCTAATCGTCAGGCCATATCATACTGTAAAACGAACTTTGGAGAGTTAATTTGTCAACTTCTTTCTCAAATGAGGAATATAAATATGGACAAGATTCGTGTGAGAATCATTGATCTAACAGTTTCTGTCATATTTAATAACATATGTCTACAATATATATATAATATAATATAATATGAGGGTTTTAATATTTGCACACATATACACACATATAGCATTGATATCTCGGATTACAGAAGATTTTAACATTATATAAATTATAATGAATATGAGCCCCTGAAGTTATTTTGCATTATTAACACAGCGATAAATCACTAAACATTCCTCATATGTTTCCACTTTCTTCAACATTTATTTAATATATCGATTATATTAGTTAATGTTACAATATAATTTTGACTCGTATCACTATAGAATTAATTGAGAATAAATCAGTATGATATCACACAGGTTACAAAGTCATTTATTTCACGTAAAGGCATTTTGTAGTCGTGAAATTTTAACTCGTTTGAGAAGAGCTAAAAGCTATCTATGGTTAACTCTGGGATGGAGACACCTTCAATGATGTTGGTCAAGATGGTAGACCTGTTGATGAAGACTGCACTCTGTATCTCCTCTGAGGACGAGGACTGTCTGATGCGGGAAGCATTTTGGCCAAGCAGGTCCTCCCAGTAGTCGATCTTCTTCAGTTTCTGCTGTGCGAGGCTCTTCATGGACTCAATGCTTCTGAGCAACGTGACTTCCTCTCGTAGCTGCATCTCCAGATGCTTCACGTTGGCCTCGTGTTCCTTGATGCTGTTGTCACACTCGGTCACCAACTTCCCCAGTTCCTCCCTGAAGTGCTCCAGTGTCTCAGCGTTCGAGCTCAAGAACTCTGTGTGTGACATCTTCATGTGCATGACGGCATCCGGTGCGGAGATAATTTGGCATTGTCCCCGGGGAGGCTGCTGGTGCCTAAGACCCAGACACCCGTCGCACGCCCACTCCTCACACCTCTTGCAGTACACGTGCAGCAGAGAGCCGTGGATGCCACACACGCTCACACCACGACGGGCTTCATGTACGCTATAAATTTCTCCGGGCACTGTGTCATTCTTCGAGTCAAGATGATGACCAATGAAGGTTGCACTATTGGGATTATCTGCTATGACTAATCTTTCCCCTGAATCAATATAGTTTGCCCTATAGCTTCCATCAGGTGGTGTGCGAGGTATCGCTGACACCTCCTGGGTGTTGGATAATGGTGATCCAGACGGTACTCTGCCTAAAATAGTCTCACGAGGGGAATTCTTCCCCGTGGGGAAAGAACTACTGGGCACTGGCTCTGTGCGAGGGCCATCTACTTCGTCGGTATCAGAGCCAGAAATCTGCAACAAAGCTGACTCTTTGCTGCTGCCATTTGTCGGTGTTGGGTTATGTCTTTTCCCCTTGTGTTCTTTAGTATGTCCAGGCCTGGTTGTGTCTGACGAAGTCTTGCCCTCCATACCAGAAGCTATAAATGGAATGTAGCTACCCGTACCACTTGGACTTGCGAGAGTCACTTTAGGATCTTCAAGGTTAGGAAACTGCTTAGAGCATTCAGACATGTATGTTTTTTTGATCTCACGTCTGAGTGCACTTTGTTGCTCGCCAGCAGGCAGCACACTATCATCACTATCATCATATGACTCAATATTCCTTAACTGGGATAACCCATTAAGATTGGGAGGGTCTGTTCTTAAGTCTGACGGGGATGAGGTAACTTTGGTAGTCTTGTGCAGCTGGTGGCTGGGCCGATGGTGGTTCTCATCTACGTTGCCGCCTGCCTCTACTTCCGAGGCTTCGTCAGTAGTGCTGTCATTTTGTTTTGATCTCGACGTCAAGGAGTATCTTAATCTGGCATTCCTGGCACGCCATATATCTTGAACGCTATCCTTAGCCATTGGACGTGAACGATTTTTCTGAATCCTGTCAGTTACTATTGTATTGTCCCGTTTTGCATTTGAGTCACTGCCTGTAACCTCGTGGCGTCCAGCACTTGGAGCTGGACAAATACCGGGATCATCAAAATTGTCCCTTTGAACCGCAGCCTGGTCATCCCTTTGTTCATTAGTGGCATGCTCTCTCCTTCCTCTGACTAATTTAGATCCATCAGCTTTAACTGACTCAAGTTTGACTTCATGTTGGGCGCTGCTTGCACGCTGGTTTGCGCCTTTCTGGGGATTTTCTGTTGGCTCCTGAGTCTTTGCTTCGTGTCTGTGTGGTGTTCCATCTTCCTCTGTGTCTTCATCATCACCATCCTCACTCTGGATGCTTGGCACGCTTCCAACATGCAGTTCAGCAAGCAGCTTATCTGTACTGGTGATTCGCGAGTATGTACCACGGCCCAGTCGGTTGGCATTTGAAGGTGTTCGTCTGTTACTCAAGACACTCTCGTACGGCGTTGAGTGAACCTCCCGTGTCTTGTGGTCAGGCCGCTCCGGCCTTGTGCCAGAGCCTGTTGAGTGGCTTGTGGTAGCGGCTCGAAGCGTACCATCAGTATAAAGTACATCGTCAGCGCCCGGTGGAGGAGAGGTGGGCAAGGTCGGCTTTAAGGCCAGGGGATCTGAGGCCACATCCGAACAATCTGGGTCAACACACTCAGCTTCACTCGTTCTGTGACTATTGATCCGCATTAGAATTTCATGCGATTGTGAGACAAGGGATCCTTTTTGGTCTTCAACTGTCTTACCCTGAGCGATAGAATGGCTCGGGGTATTAATCTGTCTGCTGATAGAATAGTCATTTTCACACTCTGTTTTTTGTATTTCCATGTGTGATTTTCTAGCTTTTGTATACAAGTCGGATGAGTTCGAGACCTTCTCAGAGTCCTCAATGCTGTCCTTGCCTGGTCGTTGGTATGTGATGGAGTTCTCTTCCTCATCCATCGTCCTAGATAGATAACTTGTCCGTGATAACAAACGAGCTCTTAAAGAAGTTTGTGGAGAGTTCGATGATTTCGAGTTGAGTTTGTTAACTGCGCTATCACGATCATCAGATATTTCCCCGGTTGACCGCCGGCTTAATGTCGAGATTTCGTCGCCCTCATTGATGGTTTCGGAGACGAAACTTGATCGAGCCAGGATTCGAGCACTGAGTGAAGAAGATCGGGCTATCTTCCCGACGTGCCGTGAAGCAGCTGGCCTTGTTCTCGTTCCTGATTCATCAAGTTTTTCAGATCCTGTTGACATACTACGTGACAGTTGCCGCTCTCGGTTACTGCGTCTTGCTGGTCCAGTCTCTGACGATGTAAACTCTTCTGCATTGGTTGCTAGCGAGAGATCGGCTCTAGGAGATTCATCTTCAGTATGACTTGGGGTGTTGAGGTGCTTGCCTGCTTCAGTATGATGTACTGCATCTGCAGCTTCCTGTTGGAAAGCTTCTTTATCTGAGCTAATGCCATCAGAACTTTGCCCCTTAGTGCCTGTAGTTTTCTGCATTCTTATTGCAGACGACAAATAAGTCTCCACTGGATTGTGAAACGGTACAGTTGGATGCTTCATCAGAGTGCTTGACTCGGTGTCTTTCTCTTTATCATTATCACTGTTGACCGTCTGTGTCTGAATGTTCGTCAGCACTGAATTGGAACTTCTTAGCTGAGCTGACGAAGACGCGCTCTTTAGGTAGCTTGACTGGGATGTAAACAGTGTTTCAGGGTTCTTTGTCCGAGTGTCAGGGGACGACTTAGTAGCACCGGCGAGGCTGGAGGCCGCCTCATTACTTGTCTGTTTTCGAGATTTGTGTGTTATGGAACGACACATGTCCAGGACGTGGCTTGGAGTACTGGAAGCTTGCCCTCTGTCTTCTACTTTGCCGTTATTTGTGTTTCTTAGAACCGAAATATCTGAACCCAGTTCTCGACGATAGGTGTTTATACCAGCTTCTGTCTGTTGTGCCTGTTTATCTTTACTAATATTTTGAAGCCCTGTGTCGAATTTAGATGGGGTTGAAACTGACCTGAGGAGTGATGCAGAGCCAGTTGGTGGTAGAGACACAGGGCCATTGATTGCCATATCTGGGTGATCATTGATTTTAGAGTCAGCCAGACTCTGGTCCTGATTGGCAATCCTCGACACTGTGCTCGTCAGGGGCAACTGAGCTGCACTTCTTCCTCTAGACTTATACACTGAGCTTAGTACACTTGGGTTGGCCTTTATGTTACTAAGGGAAGCAACAGTACTATGCTCCGTAGCTGTCGCCAACTCGCGAGTGGAAGGCATCTCCAATGCAGTGACAGGTAGAGAACTGGATTTCTTCAGTTTATCGTGAAGGCCAACGACAGCCGACTCGTTTTGCACTGCGTCGGTACTGTCAGACTCTAAAGATGGCAATCGATAGAGTCTAGAACCCTGACTTCCTATAGTGAGTCGGGTTCTTATGGTCGGAAACTTGTAAGTAAGTGGTGTTTGTGGCCGACTTGTTGGCAGGTCTTCAGTGCTTGTACTTTGTAAGGTAGATGAGCGAGGAGAGTCAGCTTCATCTGTATGAATTTTATCATCAGGTACGGTTACCACTTTTTGAATGGATGGGGAGTTTAACTGTGGCTCTGAGGCGCCATACAGTGATCTGGGAGTAGCAGGCGCTGAAGACACTCTTGGAGTCAGACTGGTATAGGTTAGGGAAGTTGTTCCTATGAGAGGCAGTGATGATGGCTTCCCTATTCCACGTGATGCAGATTTCGGACTGTCCGTCTGGAGACTTGACGGCGTTGAATCAGTGTTCAAAGTTTTCAACTTGTAGCTAGATGTGTCAAGAGACTGTTCACTCGATGACGACGAGACATCATTCCGAAGCCTCGACGTGTGATTTGAAGTACTAAGGGTCTCAAAACTGGTTGACGGTGAAGCAGCTTTCATAGGCTTTGAGTCATCTTGGCTTAAAGTTCTAGCAGCTTGTAAACTAGATGAAGATGAAACAGAAGTAGGAAGTTTCGAGCCATAACTCGAAGTACCAATGGAACGCAAACCGGACGATGGTTTAAAAGAGTTCCCAAGACTTGAATTGTAAAATGAAGTTCCTGGAGTCTTAGAAGATGCCGCATCGTCTTTTCTGGAAGAGACTCGCTTCAGAATGGAGAAGTCTGTGAGCAGCTGGGAGGCGGAGAGGGCGATGAAGGGTCGGCTGCAGGAGAGACACCGACGACTCCCGCTGGTGATGGCGTGGTCCAGGCAGCGCGTGCAGAAGGTATGGCCGCAGAAGAGAGTTCGAGGACACAGGTCCCCCTTGGCGGCGTATCTCTGCCGGCACACCCCGCACTCCAGCCGGACCTCAGCCATCTGTTCCTGCAACACAACAAACCAACCGCATGTGACACGGAGCACCATCCTCCCTTCCTCAGACATGAATAAAACCAGCTGGAATGTGATAGCACACGACCCCTTATGCTGCAGTGTTCACACACACACACACACACACACACACACACACACACACACACACACACACACACACACACACACACACACACACACACACACACACACACACACACACACACACACACACACACACACACACACACACACACACACACACACACACACACACACACACACACACACACACACACACACACACACACAACAATGAACTAAGACACTCGCGTTAAACAAAACGAAACACCGTACCTAAGCTTCCTATTTACCACTCCAGTAAATGTACATGTAAAGCTTAACGCTCTTGGCTAAGAGGGAAAAAAACAACTTGGAAGTTGTAGAAAACCTCCACAAACTTTCAAGTTTGTGGAGACTACAACTAAGAAGTTGTAGTCTTGGAGAGGCTTGCGAGCAGAGAATACTGTTAATACCAGCCATGTCAGTGGGCTCTTGGAGGTTGTGGAGAAGGAGGGTCATCCCTACCCACTGTCAGTCACATGGGACGAGACATGACACATGGTGTCAATCACTAGGAACCACACATGACACATAACGATACTCACAACCCCATGTGTCAACGTTTACCTTGTGGCAAGTATCCGGTGCTGGCAAAATTGACGATCCAGATGGCAATAGTGGTGGTAGTAGTAGTAGTTGTTGTTGTGGTAGTTGAAGTGATAGTAGTAGTGTTGTTGGTGGTGCCAGTGGTGGTGGTGGTAGTTTGAGTGGTCGTGATCGCCTCAAGTTGGCACTGAACTGAGCGGTGCTACGGCCCTGCGTGTGTGTGTGTGTGTGGGTGTGTGTGTGTGTGTGTGTAGCTGCGACTCCATTGTTTAGTTATCGTCCTATTGTTTTCCCCTGATAGTCTTCTATCTGCGAGGTCATTCTAACCATCACCAGGAGTAGTCTACCGGTGAGGGTAGTTACCAGGTGTGGATAGTCAGATGTGGATGGACAGCAGGTATGAATGGCATAGTGTGAATAGTCAGATGTAGATGATCAAATGTGAAGGATTAAGTGTGGATTGTCGAATTACTTGGGGGGTAACCACTCAAGATAAAGATCCAAAAAGATAAAGATATGTAAATATATAGATATATAGAGATATAAATAAGATAGAAACCAAGCTAGTGTATAAAGATAGAGATATAACAAGCCAGCTAAGCCAGGATGACGTGCACGCCAGAGATAGAGGACATCACAGTCAGGTTTATCACCATAACAGGTCCACCGCGAGGGGAGGCGACTCGCGGTCCTCTTATCTCTAGGTGATTATACAAAGCACATACATGAGGTATACACACACACATGCGGTATATACACACACATGCGGTATACACACACACACACAAAATACTTGCATGGACGGGTACAAGACACACAAACATACTTCCTTTACTTACGCACACAAGGGAATACACACAACAAGAATACACATATACAACATATACACACACACACACACTGGATGGGAGTATCCGGCGGTGCCCGAGTCGTGTGTGTGTGTGTGTGTGTGTGTGTGTGTGTGTGTGTGTGTGTGTGTGTGTGTGTGTGTGTGTGTGTGTGTGTGTGTGTGTGTGTGTGTGTGTGTGTGTGTGTGTGTGTGTGTGTGTGTGTGTGTGTGTGTGTGTGTGTGTGTGTGTGTGTTTGTACATCTTATCTCTTATCTGCAGTAGAATTGTTATTGACTCTTTCGCGCATAATTTAGATATAACAAGATAACTAAAACATACAGGAAATTTAGTTATACACTCTAAAATGAACTTCTTCTACTACAGGAGAGCTGGACGACAAGATGAAGTGGCTCAAGAACTTCGAGCGTCTTCTTGAGATCCAGAGGAACATTGTCTGGCCCCCTGTGACGGAGCTAGACCCTAAGGTCTACATCCCAGAGTTCCTGAAGGTGAGCTGCTGGCTTGTTTCGTGCGTAGCTTAGACATAGAGTGAGAGTTTGGGTGGACATAAATAGGATCTCTGTCTCTCGCTCTCTCTCTCTCTCTCTCTCTCTCCCTACCCGCTTGTTAATTGAAATAATTCCTTTAAGAGATAAAAACATTTATTCTCCCGAAAACATATTAAGGAGTTAATATGATTCCTGTCTGATAAAATAAATATATCTTTATTACATAAACAACTATCTGTTGTCTACCATTATTCCCCGCGAGTTTATCCCGCCACAACTTCACTGCGTCATTGTTTCCCTCCATTTTTTCCCGCGCGTCAGGGAGCCATCTCGCGGCAGCCTTGTGAACGACTGATCGTGTCGCCGCGACGACAGATCATCTTGGAGGGCTCCTTGCACATGCTGGACCACAACAAGCCCCAGGAGATGTACGTCATCCTCTTCGACGACATGCTCCTCATCACCCGCAGGAAGAAGGGACTCCATAAAAAGGTACTTTGAGAGTTTGTACAGAAAAAACTAATTAAAAATAAAATGGAGGTTAACGGGTAAATTAAGCAGTGTTGACAAGGGCGAGCGAGGGGGTCGTTGGGGAAGGGGGGGGCAGTGTGGGGCAAGACAGGTGTCGTAGAGGTGACAGTGAGAGCAAGACAGGTGTCGTAGAGGTGACAGTGAGAGCAAGACAGGTGTCGTAGAGGTGACAGTGAGGGTAAGACAGGTGTCGTAGAGGTGACAGTGAGAGCAAGACAGGTGTCGTAGAGGTGACAGTGAGGGGGCAAGACAGGTGTCGTAGAGGAGGTGACAGTGAGGGGGCAAGACAGGTGTCGTAGAGGTGACAGTGAGGGTAAGACAGGTGTCGTAGAGGTGACAGTGAGGGTAAGACATGTGTCGTAGAGGAGGTGACAGTGAGGGTAAGACAGGTGTCGTAGAGGAGGTGACAGTGAGAGCAAGACAGGTGTCGTAGAGGTGACAGTGAGGGTAAGACAGGTGTCGTAGAGGAGGTGACAGTCAGGGCAAGACAGGTGTCGTAGAGGAGGTGACAGTGAGGGGGCATGACAGGTGTCGTAGAGGAGGTGACAGTGAGGGTAAGACAGGTGTCGTAGAGGAGGTGACAGTGAGGGCAAGACAGGTGTCGTAGAGGAGGTGGACAGGTGTCGTAGAGAAAGCTGCTGTTCTTACAGTTTCAGTTTTGGAAACAAATACAGAACTATATACAAAGTAGTTTTGTCCTAATATTTGTCACCTTGATGGCATAAATTAGGTAGAAAAAAGCTGATAGAGAAAACTGATAAAGAAAGCCTGATAGAGAAAGCTGTACACCAGGAAACAGCTATACGGGTATACCACCAGAAATTGTTCAAGAGAGTAGGATATATGACATGACAAAACGGTCTCAACCGCTTCCACCGTCTACAGAAATCGTCGCTGACGGAGAACTGGCCGAGTTCGTGTTCCCGGGGATCGACGGGGAGCGACTCTGCCCTTCGCTACATTGTCTACAAGCAGCCTCTCTCTCTGGACCGCTTCTTCATCCACGATGTCACACCCCACGAATCGGCGGCCTCCAAGCTGGAAGCTGCCTTCGTCCTGGTGAACCTGAACCGCTTCCAGCAGATCGTCGCCGTGTACACCTTCCAGGCGCAGACGGAACAGATCAAGGTAGGTGTGGCTGTTGGTTCATGACGTTTCCCCTCGAACACACACACAGTAGGTAAAGGTAAACTCAAGTTCCGTCCCATGACACCGTCCCAAAATGGATAGTATAGCGCCAGGATGCTTGGTAAGGCACGTACCAAAGAGGTAAACAAGTGAAACTATATGTCAATATTCCATTTTGAACCTCCAATTGCACGTTTCAGTTTGGAGAAATACAGATTTCCTCAGGGTCTTGTGTTCGTCTACAGAATCACATGCAAGTTTTAGTTCTCGATTTGCTAGATCACTGAACATTTGCATGCACTAATCAAAATAATTTTAATTTCGTGGTTAGGGTTGTATTTGTATGTATATAACTAATCCCCATATGATAACCAACACATTAGTAATTATACAAATAAGGGGAATGACATTTTAGATTACAGTTTTGCGTCACTTTAACTCATCTGTCTCTGCTCTCCGCCAGCAAACGTGGCTACTGAAGCTGAGAGACACTCAGGACAAGTGGAAGAGAACACTGCAAAACACAGTGTTCAGATCTCAGCGCCTCTCGTCAGCCACCACGCCCCCTAGGAGCTCTCATATCCTGAAGGAGGCCAGTATCCACAGGGAGTACCCGTGAACAACCGTTCGGCAACATCTAGGATCTCATTCCCCCGGAAGAAGTAGATGAAGACGATCTTCCTTCTCTACGCGCTATAGTGCCTGGCACCTCATCGCACGCACCGAGATGCGAAGTGGTTCTTCGTCAGGGAGTTGTCGACTCTCGCTCGGAGGCTCTGGACGAGAGACCACAGACAGAGCGACGCGTGACCCAGTCTGGGTCACGCCCGCCGTCATATCCTGGGCTTCAACTCTTCGTACTCTTCATTCATCACCTCAAAATGCACTTCCATCTTCATAACACATCCACTCATGGATAATCGTTACTTCGATACACTCGCCCTGTTCATACAAAGTAATAATTTTTATATGGAAAAAGTCATATATATATATATATATACATATATGTTTTCCTACTACGATAGAACTATCGTTTAATGGTAACTATCCTCACACCTATTCTCATTTATTCCTTTCATCTCTTCCCAAACCACGAACCTCATCTTGCCCTTGCCGGATACTGCACCTCTTTCATAACGGCCACCTGCAGTACACAGACCGGTCCTTGGAACCAACGGACATCATCAATAAAACCTTTCCGGCCACTATTATCCCCACTGACTTGAGGTCGTTGGGAAGAAGCCAATGTCATCTTCTGGAAACCAAAAAAAGTTCACTAATTCATCATCACTGAAGCCTTTTGAGAACTTTCAGATAAAACAAATGTTAAATAAATTGTTAATGTTTGATTATTATTCACCAAAATAAATGCCATCGTGAGGTCAAGACCGACAGCAATGGACCACCATGGTCTAGACCGACAGCAATGGACCACCATGGTCTAGACCGACAGCAATGGACCACCATGGTCTAGACCGACAGCAATGCACCACCATGGTCTAGACCGACAGCAATGGGCCACCATGGTCTAGACCGACAGCAATGGGCCATCATGGTCTAGACCGACAGCAATGGGCCACCATGGTCTAGACCGACAGCAATGGGCCACCATGGTCTAGACCGACAGCAATGCACCACCATGGTCTAGACCGACAGCAATGGACCACCATGGTCTAGACCGACAGCAATGCACCCCCATGATCTAGACCGACAGCAATGGGCCACCATGGTCTAGACCGACAGCAATGCAACACCATGGTCAAGACCGACAGCAATGGACCACCATGGTCTAGACCGACAGCAATGCACCACCATGATCTAGACCGACAGCAATGGACCACCATGGTCTAGACCGACAGCAATGGACCACCATGGTCTAGACCGACAGCAATGCACCACCATGGTCTAGACCGACAGCAATGGACCACCATGGTCTAGACCGACAGCAATGGGCCACCATGGTCTAGACCGACAGCAATGGACCACCATGGTCTAGACCGACAGCAATGCACCCCCATGATCTAGACCGACAGCAATGCAACACCATGGTCTAGACCGACACAATGGACCACCATGGTCTAGACCGACATTGCAACTTGACAGACACGCATCTAATTGTTGAACCTGTCACTTCAAGCGTTCGGCTCGGACATAAACTCATTAAGAAAATTATATATTTGAATACATGTTATTCATATTTATTATTAATATTACTAAAAAGTATCCACATGTGGATTTGATACCAAATTCCAAACAAAAATCGGATCAATATTATTGTTTGATCTTGTATTCCGCAATGTCAACGATTCTATAATTTTGCAATAACTGATGACATGGGTTTCCCAAACGTGGCTTAAACGTTTGATTTGTGGCAAACTAAGTTTCCACAGCACATTACAGACGTACGCTGAAAAGTTTGGAGAAGCTCCGAAACGTTTCTGAGAGACTCTTGAGTAGTCTGGACAATCCCTGAACAGTGCAGAACAACGATTAGAATACACAGGTGAACAATCCGGACACGTCGTGAACAGTTGGAACACCCAGTGAACAGTCCAGAGAAGGTGTGGCAGGTCTGGCGCATGAACCAGACACAGCTCTTGCCCCTCGACCATTACTCTTACCTCAAGACTTAACAATCAGGAAACAGACAATAACACTCTGGACACTTCTGATCACGTTCTCAACACACGCACCGATGACTAGAGTGGTCAGGTGACCAGTCATCAGTCGATAGCGGTCAGGTGAGCACTATCCACCACAACCACCGACCACGCTCGATAAGTGAACGCTGGAGCGATCACGCTGCTGCCCTATATGTGATAATTAAAGATAAATACCCCTTTATCATCTACACTTAACATTTTAGGTTTAAACAATAAATAAAAAAAACGCCTCATAGAACTGTATAAAGTATTTTGAAGTAATATTTATATGTTTGTATCCCCTCCTCCCCCCTCCTTCGCCCTACTACCTGTGCACATCTCTTTTTAGAGCTACGCGGGGCTCTACGCTCCAAGCAAGACTTAAGGTAAACAGTCACTGACCTCCCGGGGGAAGTGCTCTTCAAGGCTCGTAATAATAGCTCTATGATTAGGAAAATGAGCCGATGAGGACTGCACTTTCTTTGGGTTACACGTCAGTCTCCTCACTTACTAAGACATTGTGATTTTTGTATATAAATAAAAAATGAAGTGTGGATTCTCTGGCATCCTCGAGACGCTGCTCTCGGCCGAGGAAGCTGTGATGGAACGCTGGATGTTGTTTCTCACGACATATGCCAGCTTACATAGGACCTTCCTATATAATATGTATATACATAAACCGCAATTTAAATTAAATGAAACTCTCGTAGTTTTCAAAACAACAGCTATAATTTCCTGTATCATTCCTGATCTAATGCATTTCTAAATTCAGTAATATTCTTATGTGTTTTAATCACTAAATGTTTCATGACCACCAATACAAAGCTAGAAGAGCCCCAGTTATAAACGTTACCATTTTTGTAACGTTTTCACATTTTAATATTACCAAAAAAGATTCATAATATTCAAGTTAATACGTTTGTGTGCAAATGATTTATCCCACTTGCCAAGGTCACTTCGGGACATCTCGGGTTATCTTGGCGGAAAGTTCCTCTTGATTCAGCCTCCAGCAGGAGACTGACTGATGCCAGCGGATCACGGCTCGTCACAGACTTTTACTGTACTGGCGTACGACGAGCATAGATGTGTGTGTGTGTGTGAGCGAGAGTTAAGAGTGTCGAGAGCAGCAAATGCGATCGCTGTGAGGATACGATTGTTGTGAGAATGTGATTGTTGTGAGGATGCGATTGTTGTAAGGATGCTGCTGTGTGAATAATGAGAGAGGAATGAGTGTGTTTGATCCTCCGGGAGTAACTCACTCGACACCTTAATCACCTCACGTTTGCTGGGTTGCCTTGTACACTGTGTACTTCCTGCACCAAAATGTAGTGTATTTTCCCCCGGTTTTAAAAAGGTCATTTACGTGTATCACCATGTTACATAATCTGGCTGTAAATATTTATTTGGCTGTTAGGACCACATTTTTTGTACTTTGTAAATGCCCTGTGTCTTAGATTCTCTTTAGAGAGTCGTGTAGAGGACAAGGCAGGTAGCCAGTTTCTCTGTTCGTGGAGAGATTTCTCACAGTTCTTTCCAATACGATTAAGCAATGTAATAAGCATTAATATTATTACACTTTTCATTTGAAAATTATTGTTGAATCTCTCAGTCAAATTATGCTTCCTGAAAAGGGTAATTCTTGCTTTTGTGTTAATTATTCGGAAATTATCAGATTTTGAACATGAACATAATTGTAATAAAGAAGTCTAATGTAAGATGTTAAAAAAAATATATAATATTTTAAATTTATAAGTTAAATATATATTTTTTTATA